GGTTGTATGTACTGTACCAACTCATTAAGGTTAAAGGCAGTAGATGATAGCTGCCTTTTTTTGCGTCTTTAACTCTCAATATTTCTCATTCACTCTCTATTAAACTCCTTGCTTTGCCACAGTGTGTGTGTGTGTGTGTGTGTGTGTGTGTGTGTGTGTGTGTTGTGTTGAAGACACTAAGACTGTGATCTTTACCCCAGAGACCACCACCCATTGGTAACACTGAGAGGTAGTGTTAGCAAAACGAGCTCCCTTTCCATAGCTTAGTCCAATCTTCCCTTCTCCACAGCTTAGTATGCTCCCTTCCTAGGCAACACTAGGTCCATGTAGTAAAGGCAGCAAATTATCAGCCTCCAACCCCTCCTCTACCTTGGGATGGCACTTCTCTGGGGCAGATACTACAATATAAGGCAACAAGAGCCCCTTAGAGTGACCTTCAGGTCTGGGCAGCTGAAAGACCCCTTATCTACTATTTGGGCAGCTGCCATAAATCCTAGTCTGTGATGATGAAGCCCCTGGCCCACACCTTCACACTGGGATCTCCACGTCCTAGCCCCTCCTAAGCCTCCTAGGTTATGTAGGTCACCCCAGACAATAGCTGGTGCTTCTTCTCACTTCTCACTTCTCCCTTGTGAGAAGGGGACTTGCCGGCCCCTTTCCCAGAAATAAACCTTTCTTTGTTCTCTGTACCTGGATGGCCCCTTTCCTAGCAATAAACCTTTCTTTGTTCTCTCTACCTTCTTCGTGGTTCTCTGGCAAAGTCTAATAAGCTTTCAGGTAGCAATCACAATCTCTGGTGGATGCAGCTGCTCCTCCAGTGTAGTAAACTGTACCTTAGTAGATGACATCTCTGAGTCTCTGAGTTAAAGGGGCTCCCAAGGGGGGGAGATGGGAAGGGATGGGAAGGGGAAACAAAGGAGGAGGCAACAATGCTTGATAAGAAATGTACTCATTACCTTGCCCATGTAATTGTAACCCCTCTGTACAGTATTTTCACAATCAAAAGGGGGGGGGTTTCCAGGGCACATTCTGTCTATTCTGCAGTTGTGAATGCACTGAGATATCCTATTTGCAAATCAAAGAATTAGCCTGAAAAAGTTATACTCATAAAACAGAACAAAAGATCTTAGTTTGAAGATGGACCATACCTTGTTTCTTTTCTCCATGCTCAAATCCTCAAAATTATGGGGAAGTGACACAGTAAAAGCCACCACACATGTGGGGGCAGAGGAATTTAATGCCACCAGAGGATCCCTGGAATCATGACATTTACACCTTATATGGGACAGGAGGCACCTTGGGCCCTGTTGGAATAAGGGAGAAAGAAAGAGTATAAAACAAACAAATGACTCTGGGCTTTATTATCTTTGGCTCTTAGAGACTGCATGGAAGAGGAAATATTTGGTATTTTGTGCCAGTTTGGAAAGTCCCTCCCCCCTGTCCCCGCAGACATTGTTGTTTCTTTCATGCTACAATTCTGTTGAGAAATGTCTCTGAAATTCTTCTCCTGGGAAGGGCAGGATGGGTTTCTAGTGGATTCCCCACCTGACACTTTTCTACCTGACACTGTGCAGACAACAGCCATATCAACTCACACAACTGACACCCAGTAAAGGTTCGTTGAGTGAAACCATGTGGACCTGTGGTTTAAGGTTTTAATAAAGCAAAGGCATCTTTTTGACTAGTCAAGGAATGCTGATAGTTCTGAAAGCCCTCGGGGAAACTTGGGGAAACTAAGCCCATTCATTCTTCTCCTGCAGCCTTAGGCAAATCTCCGGGCTCCTTGGAGCAGAGCCAGCGTCCCAGACATCCCCACCGCCAGGGATGAATGTGCACAGGCCAGGACCACGCCGGAGTTCTCGCTGTCCTCTTGGGGTTCGAAAGCTCCAGGCGCTAGGAAGGGATTTCCGTGCAGTGACAGATTACCCACCGTGGGGAGCTCCTCTGGTAGAGGCGCCCTATTTAGCTGGTTGCAACTGAGATCGAGCACGCGAAGCTTGGCCGGCAGTCCCTTAGGCACCTGCTTCAGTCCAGCAGACGACAGGTTGAGAGAGCTGAGCTTGGCGGGCCACACACACTCGGAAGAAGCAGGGTTTGCCGTAGCGCGCAGCGGGTTGTGGCTGAGGTCTAGGTGGCTGGGCTGCACCCCCGCGCTGGCCAGCGCCGCGCACACGCCAGCGGGCGTCTGCATTCCCGCATTGCGCAACGCTAAACTCTGGAGTGCCGGGAACTTGTGAGGGCAGAGGGCCGAAAGCAATCCACGCTCACCCAGAGCAGGATTGTCAGACAGGTCCAGGGTGGTCAGGGCCGAGAAGATGCGGACCTGATCGCAGGAAAAGGCTAGCGAGTGTGCTTGGGCTATGTTCAGTACTTTGAGGCCGGGTTTGAGCCACTGCTGCAATTCGGCTAGCCAGGTACCTCTGGATGCCCAAGACACGTTGCGGAGGCTCAAGGTGGTGAGCTCAGGCCCGGTGGCCCCCAGCAGCCCCGGGGGCGCGGTGCCCGTTACCTCTAGGTCCTCCAGGGTCAGTTCCTTGAGGCGGGAAAAGCCTAGCACACGCAGGGCGCCGGCCAGCAGCGGGGCAGGCACCCGTGCGGCCCCGAGAGTCAGGCGCCGCACGCGCAGGGCTCTGATTACATCAAGGTACTGCCGCGGGTCGGCCTCGGGGTCCACACGGCTTAGAAACTCCTCCAGGCTGCGGCCGCCGCCGCGAATCTCCACCTGGAGCGCAGACACGCACTGAAGGGCGCTGGACCAGTCCGGCTGCGGATCGGTGAAGTTGCAAGCGCAGCGGACGTCTTCATCATCCAGCTCGCAGGGCTCCGCTGTGGTTATTGCAGAGAGGCGCAGCAGCGGCAGAAGCAGCAGCCACAGACACGACAAGCTCTCCTGGAGGGAGACAGTGGAGGTCAGGCAGGCTCCTAACCTGTCCCTGGAGGTCCTCAAGTGGCCGTGGTTCCACCTCCAAATCGCGTAACTCACCATGCTCACAAAATCCTGTGAAAGCCTTTATGGCTCAGGCTGGCTCAGGGAGAGACTTCGGCTTCTCCCCTGTACAGCAGGGCTCTCCAGCTTAACTTCCACACGCCTATCTGTCCTAACTTTTTGGCAGCCCCGATGAGTTTATGTAATCCTGGGAGGTCACTCTGTTTCCTCCTTTGTACACACGCTGGTCACTGCCCCCCTTCTATTCCTCCCCACAGCGCCAGTCACTTCCTTCTAGGATACATTGCAATGAAGTATTGCAGGGTGGGAGGGAGGACCAAAACAGAAAGGACTCTTTAGGGCATTAAGGGGTTTTGGTGCCAGGCAGACTGAATGACTCAGGCACCTCATGGTTGTCTGGAAGGTATGAGGAAGGGAAGTTCCCTACCAGTACCTTAGGCCAGGAACAAATGTCTCAGAGGATGGGAATAGAGACAGTACTTTTACAACAACCCTAACAATCCATTCCCCTAGACTCTTGGAGAAAGAACTAGCTGAAAGTCTTGTAAATTTATACTTCCTTTTAACGGAGGAGTTCTTCCCCTATCTCAAAGAATTCTTAGACTACACTGGCCCCTGTGTGCCTTTGTTGAGCATTCCTTGAGAGCCTGAGTCTGCTGGTGCAGGTCTCTATGACTTTCCTGAGGATCAAGATATGAATATATCTCAATGTTAAATAACTAACTTTGGGGCAACAGCCAGGCTTAGAATCCTAGCTGTATTGCTGAGGTTGCAAGACTTGGGGGAAATTCTGGGCTTTGATGTGGTGTTGTGTGTGTGATGGGGGGTGGTGCATGTACCAATCTTGGAACTTGAATTCAAGGCCTTGTGCTTTTCTTTTCAAAGCTGATGCTCTACTATTTGAGCCACATCTCCAATTCCAGGATTTTGCTGGTTAATTGGAGGTAAGAGTCTCTGATTTGTTTGCCAAGGTTGGCTTCAAACTGTGATTCTCAGATCTCAGCCTTCTGAGTGGCTAGATTATAGGTGTGAGCCCTTGGTGCCTGGGTTGGTTTAGCCTTTTTAATTTGGAGATAAGAGTATCTCTCTGAGAAAAGTTCTTGGTTCCGAGCCATGTCATTGAAGGTAGCCTTCTTTCCCAGAGTCTATATTAAGATAACTCAGGTCGCTGAAATCTGGCTCCTTTGCAAAAACCAGCACCTTCCAGGAGGCACTCTGAACAGAAAGGTCCAAGCTAAAGAAGAAAAGAGCCCAACTCTCATATTAACTCCCATGAATAGCTATCATTTTTTCTACCAAGTGCCAGAGTTGGAGGGAAGCCCTGGAATGGAGACATGATTGAGATACAGTCCCTCAAGGACTCCAGTAGATGGTGGAAGCAAACCTCAGTCCTGAACTACAGTTCACTTACAGAGGAGAAATCTTCACTTACAGAAACTCATAGTGGCTCTGAAGAAGGAAACAGCCAGCCCTATAGAAGCCAGGACACTGGGCTGGTTCTTATAGGGATGAGTGTTGCCAGGCAGGTAGATGCCAAAAGGTCTATCAGGAAGCTATAGCTGCTTGAGCAGATGCTTCAGTCCAAGTTTCTGGGCTTTTGCCTAAGAACTTCCCCATCAGGAAGTTCTTACTGGAGGAAGTAGCAACACCCAGGCCCCACCCCAACCATGGAACAGGTGGATAAGAGCATGGAACCTAAGCAAAAAGTTAGAAAGACCCTATCTCAAGCAATAAACTGGGTCTGGTGGTGTGCAATTTGTAATCTCAGCTATACCAGGAGTTGGTAGGAGAACAGGAGACTAGCTTGATACACTGGTCAAGAGGGGGCAGATAAATTACCCTTGAAATAACGGCACAGAAATTCCGGGCTCCGCCTCTTGCTTAGCATATCCCCGCCCCTCGACATCGGCCCCGCCCCACCGCCGGTCTCATCGCGCTGGGTCCCGCCTTCATTTCCGCGCTCAGCCCCACCCTCCCAGCCTGTCTTCCGGATTCTGCTTTGCGGCTGCGCAGTCCGAGCCGTGCTTCCAACGCTTTGAGACCTTGTTGACGGGTTTGCTGGTCTCCTTGAAGATCTTCCAGCTCCATCATGTGGAGTCATCGGCAGAGTCGCCTCAGGCCGCTGGCCTGCGGAGTGGAGGAGCTACGGCAGCGGCGCCGGGAGCGGGAGGCTGGTGCGAGAGGACTAGGGAGGTGGGAGATGGGGGTGGGTGCGGGTTGGAGATTAAAGAAGTGGATCCCTGAGTGGGAGGCGCGGGTTCAGGTCCCGCGCGCCGTGCTTTCACGCTGAGCCGGCTTCCCCGGTTCCTCTGACCGCAGCACTGCGGAAGGCGCGGAGGGAGCAGCACCTGGTCAGCAAGAGGCTGCTGAGAGAAGATGCGCAGGAGGAAGCCGGGAGCTCAAACAGCGCCGTGGTTCTTGGGGAAGCGGAGGTGAGGGGGCCGGGAGGGGCGTGCGCTGCCAAACTCCCGCGGGTGCCTGAGGCTCTGACCCTCACTTGAACACCATCCACTCTGCACCTCATCGGGAAACGGGAATCAGCTGATTCCCCACATCAGCTCTTCACCCTCCTGTCCCGGCCGTTTGTGCTCCAGTCTTTGCGTGCCTCGTCCGTGCAGTTGTCACCACCATCTCTGGATAATACAGTAGCTTCCTAGAACGTTTACACTTCCTACACTCAAAAAACACACCCAGGACTAGGAATATGGCTTAGTAGTAGAGCGCTTGCCTAATATGCATGAAGCCCTGGGTTTGATTCCTCAGAACTACATAAACAGAAAAAAAACTGGAGGTGGCGCTATGGCTCAAGTGGTAGAGTGCTAGCCTTGAGCAGAAGCAGCTCAGGGACAGTGCCCAGGCTCTGAGTTCAAGCCCCAGGACTGGCAAAAACAAAAAACAAACAAACAAAAAAAAAACCAGACCCAAATCCTTCCTGTGACCTGCATAGCTCAACATGATCTAACTGCTAACTTCCTCCAACTTAACCACACCCAAATCCTTCCTGTGACCTGCAAAGCTCAGCATGTGTCTAACCTCCAACTTTGTCAGTTTACTCACCCTAACCACTGTCCCATTTTCAGTTACTGAAGCCATATACCAACCACTTTCCTGTGCCTCTGCTACTTTTTAGCAATCTCTCTCTCCCTTCCTCCCTCCTGAGTACAGTATCTGGAATATAGATGTTCTGTATTGAATGAGTAAACGAAAAAGTTCAGCACACACAGGTTTTACCTTGTTTTAGTATTGCCTGTATTTACCTACCTAGTTTACAGGGCACTTACTCCTTGGCTAGATTACTTATTTATTGTATGCTTTGTGATAGAACAGTGTGCTGGGCATTGAGGCAAAATAGATTTTTTTTTTTGGGTCCAGTCGTGGGGCCTGAACTCTGGGCCTGGGCGCTGTCCCTCAGCTCTTCAGCTCAAGGGTAGCGCTCTACCACTTGAGCCACAGCACCACTTCCGGCTTTTTTCTTTTTGCTTATGTGGTGCTGAGGAATTGAACCCAGGGCCTTAGGCATGCAAGGCAAGCGCTCTACCACTGAGCCAACTCCCCAGCCCAAAATAGAATTCTTTGAAGTGCTTATAGACCACTTTAGGAGAGAGATGTCCTACCTCTTACATAATGAAAAGAAACGTGGTGCACAAGGGAGACTCCTAAGTGCCAAAGCAAGCCAGGAGGAGCCCACTTCTAGGGACAGTTGAGAAGAAACCCAAAGGGAGAGGGAATCTGGAGAGGATATTCCAGCTGAGTAAGTCATGAAAATCTTGGAAATGTTAAAATACATCAATTGCTGGAGTGTACATTGCATGGAGAAACTGACTGAAGGAGTAGGTTTTGCCAGATGAGAGATTTTAATGTTATGTTTGAAATAACATGTCAGGGTAGATAGTGTTATTCTTAGTGTTATTATAAGATGAGACAGATCCCTTTGTGTGGCAAGTGGCAGGACCCAATTCTGATCTGTCAGTCTACTGTCCCACAAAGAATGGTGCTTAGTAATCATATTAGTTTCAATGACAATGGTTTGATATTGGAGATCTTACAGATAATGTGGACTTAGGTCTTGTCTCTGGCAATTGTGTCCTGGTCTAGGTCAAGCAGTTCCTGTCACTAGCCCAGCGAGGGACAGATGAAAATGAGAGAGAAAAGGCTCTGGTCAGCCTTCGTCGAGGCTTACAGCATCCTGAGACACAACAGACCTTCATCAGGTCAGTGTGGGTGGGGTAAGTGATTGCTGGGACTCTTGAGAGGATAGGAAAGTGTGGAAGGGATAGACTACAGGCTTAGCAGGGTTTTGATGTTCACTCATGTAGGCTGGAGGGCAGTATGCGGACCCTGGTAGGGCTCCTGACCAGCAACCGGGCCTTGTTGCAGCTTGAGGCAGCCCGGTGCCTTCATGAGCTCTCTCATTCTGAAATCTCTGCAGTGGCTGAAGCCTGCTTGCCAGCTACGTCCTACCTCCTCACCTACCTCTCTGGTCACAGCTCAGAATTCATAGTAAGTCCTGTCCCTTCCTACCTTCTTCTGGGATTAGAATTTAAATTGAGCTTTTGCACAAATTTACATTTGCCAGTTTGAGCTGGCAAGTATAGGGACAAAAAAAAAGTAATATGTTTCCTCTGATGTCTACAGCAGTACATGCACTCATCATTTCCCCTCTCTCTTATATACATGTATTTTTTTTTTTCATGCTAGTATTGGGGCTTGAACTCATCCTGGGCATTGTCCTTTAGCCTTTTTGATCAGGATGGGTGCTCTACCACTTAAGCTACAGTTCCACTTGTGTGTGTGTGTGTGTGTGTGTGTGTGTGTGTGTGTGTGTATGTATGTATTATTGGAGGTAAGAGTCTCATGGACTTGCCTGCTTGGGCTGGCTTCAAACTGTGATCCTCAGATCTCAGCTTCCTCAGTAGGATTACAGATATGAGCCACCAACCTCTGGCTCCCCACTCTCTTGTGAACTTCAAGAACAGGGCAGTTCTATGTTCCTCATCCTTGGATGGTATGAAATGAGCCCAGCTTGACACTAAGCAAAAGGAAAGAAAGGTACATATCATCTGATTTAGTAGAAATAGTTTTATTGTTAAAGTTCACAGAGTTCATCAGCTTTGTAGATTAAGATAATGATTATCATTGTGAAGGTTAAAAGGTATTTGTGACTTCAGCTAAATAACTATGCCACATTACTGTGAAATTTATGTAATCACTTAATCTCAGTAAAGAACTGTTTGGAGGAAAAAAATAAGCCCAGCTCAATGTCCAATCCAGTGTTTTTGTTGCCTGTCAGGAGCTGTGTCTGTATACACTGGGAAACCTCATCGTGGAGAGTGAGGCTGTGAGAAGGCAGCTTCTGCCACAGGGCATTATTCTAGCCTTTGCTACCTGCATCCAGGTGAGTCCCTCCAATCTCCCTCCCTCACAAGCCTTCCCTCTCATCTATCCATGTGCCCCACTGTCTTTCCTCCAACCTCTGTTGTGTTAAGGGGTGAAAGTCTCTGGAGACCTTATGACCCAGTTTCAGAGTCAGTTCCCTACACTGTGTACTTTTAGTCCCCCCACATGGCTGTGCTGGAAGCCCTTGGATATGCCTTGTCTCAGCTTCTGCAGGCCAAGGAAGCTCCAGAGAAGATCATTGGGTAAGTAAAATTGTATCTACTTCTTGGTATTCTAGCCCATGGATTCCTCATCAGCTCTGATTTCCAAAGCTATTGCACATTTAAACTTCATCGTGAGTCTGGTTAGGAAGAGCTGTGGGTTTAGACACCATTCCATTTGCTTTAAGAGTTTGGGAAGATGCCAATGCATCTTCATGACTCCTCCTCACAGTTCTGCTTCTGCTGGCAGCTCTGTCCTGGACTCCACTCTCCCCCAGCACATGCTGCAATTGATGCAACCCGGTCCAAAGCTGAACCCTGGGGTCGCTGTGGAATTTGCCTGGTGCCTTCACTACATCATCTGCAGGTACATGGGTCACTTTGGAGAATTCCAGAGACCTTTTGTGGAGCTCTTTTCCATGTCACTTAGATCTTTGAACTGAATTTGGCTTCTGGAATTGTGATAGTGGATGTTCATCTTTCTATAGTCCTTTCTTTTGCCCAGGAGACCTACTGGTTTAGGCTGTTTCCAGCTTAAAGGTGGGATTGACTAGATAGTGACTGCTTGCTTCCTGTTGCTCAGCCAGGTCAACAATGCCTTGCTCATCACCCATGGGGCTCTGTCTACCCTGGAGCTGCTGCTGTTAGACCTGGCTGGGGCTGTCCAAAGAATGGAGGATGAAGGACTGGAACTAGTAGGTGAAAAGGATAGGTCTGAGTGACATTTGTCATGTTTTGCCCATCTGGTGTCTGTATACCACCTTTCTCCTAACACTTGACCTTACAATTGTGTTTGCAGCTCATATGTCCTGTGCTTCGGTGTCTAAGCAACCTGTTAGCTGAGGAGCTGCTGGAGGCTGTGGAATACCAAATGCAGCCAAAAGATGAGCGTGTTGTAGTAGCCTTATTTATCCTCTTCCAGTTCTTCCTTCAGAAACAGCCCAGCTTGCTTCCTGAGGGCCTGTGGCTCCTCAACAATCTTACTGGTATGCAACACAATCTGCTTACACTGGACATTTTATTTTTTGTTGGTTGTGGGGCTTGAACTCTGCAAGTGGGCACTGTCCCTCAGCTCCTTCAGCTCAAGGTGAGTGCTCTACCACTTGAGTCACTGCACCACTTCCGGTTTTCTGGTGGTTAATTGGAGATAAGCGTCTCACAGACTTTCTTGCCTGGGCTGGCTTTGAACCATGATCCTCAGATCTCAGCCTCCTGAGTAGCTAGGATTACAGGCGTGAGCCACTGGTGCTTGGTGTGGACATTTTAACATCATCAAAACATTTATTAAAAATTAGGAGGGAGAAGTTGTTATGCAAGTGGAGATTGAAGAGTAGTACAGAGCTCTGGGGAACAGGGCACTTCAAACACCAGATGGGGCTCTGCATGCTCCTTTTGTTCATCCTACCTGCTATCCTGTCAGTGAAGGTCTTTCACTCCCCAACCCGTTTCTCTCCGTCTGTGATGGGGGCACCTGGGGCCTTCAGTGATGGGACTACCTATTCATCTACCCATGGCTGCTACGTGGTCTCTTCTTTCCCCCAATAAATCACTTAGGCCTCAGTTCCTTCAGGATGTTATGAAAGAATATCAGGGCCCCTATCCTCCCTCACTTGAAGTAAAGGAAAGGGAAATATAAGCTCCACATTCCTCCCACCTTTGTTCCTAGGCTTTCCCAAAGAGGCCTCAATAAATAATGTTCCAATAAAGCTTTGATCAGAAAAAAACATATTCAGACAGAAGTGCTCTCACCATCCTACAAATCCAGCTAGCCAAGGCCTCTCCACCTGACCTAATCATAGTGCAGGATTCTGAATCTCATGGGGCTTCTGGAGCAAGGAGACTAAAAGTAAATAGAGCTCCCCAATGTTCACACAGGGATGATTCATGCACACATTATGTGGACACACCAGGGCATGTCTGTAGTTTACCGCCACTGTCCTGTACTTATGCTCACATATACCCCAGGCACCTGGGTAGATTGCTGGGAACAGACATAGCACAAACATGGAATCCTTCCCTTCCTGGCTTAGTTAGCCTTCTAGTAGTAGCCAGACCCTAGAACTAACAGCTCTGGAGATAGATGAGCTTATACTTTGCTAATCAGGCTGAGAGGAGAGCCAGGGGCATGGGACTGTAGGTCTTCAACTCTGGGTCTGGGCACTGGCCTTGAGCTCTTTAGCTCTAGGCTAATGACCTAGTACTTTGAGCCGCAGTTCCACTTCTGATGATTAATTGGAGCTGAGTCTTAGATCTCAGCCTCCTAACTAGCTAGGATTACAGGCATGAGCCACTGGTGCCCAGCTTGGAAAAGCATTCTTTGTCCAGGAGGCTGCAGGGCAGTGCTTGCTCCAGACTGAGTAGGGACTGAACCTTCTAAGGGGCTAAGTCCTTATGGCCTAGGCTATAGTAGGTAGGATTAGGGATGGGAAAATAGCAATTTAAGCCCCAGTTCAGGGTACTTCATACTGACATTTTCCCTTCCAGCAAACAGTCCTACTTTCTGTACATCATTGCTCTCTCTGGATCTGATTGAACCCCTCTTGAAGCTGTTGCCACTATCTAATGTGGTGAGCGTACTGGTATGTATCAGGGACACTGAAGTCCAAGATTTTGTAGTTGTGGTGTAAACAGGGGAAAAGGCTCTCAGATGTATGAGGGCTGGCAGGTGATATGGTATAGCTTCAGAGCCAGACCAGTCTAGCTTTGAAGTAAATCAACTAACCACAGCAAACAGCCAAGGTTTGTCTAATTGGCTTAGTGCCTAGGCATGTAGTCACAGTATTTGTAATTGTGACCTCTGGTTTCCATCTCTCTGGGGACTGTATCTGTGTTTCTAGGTACTTAGGGTTCTGTGCAACATTGCAGAGAAGGGTTCAGCTTATTGCCAGCGGCTATGGCCAGGGCCCCTGCTTCCCTGCTTGCTGGACACCCTGGCCCTTTCTGACACTGAAGTAGTAGGTCAGAGTTTGGAACTGCTGCAGCTTCTATTCCTTTATAAGCCAGAGGTAGGTTTTTGGACTGGTTTGTAATTTCCCTTACTCAGTAGCCTTTAGTCTGTCTCATCATAGTCTTCTCTTTTAGTTAAAACTATTTTTTTCCCCCTCTGGGCTGGGTTAGTCTATGTGGGCCACAGTTCAGAACCTTCATAAGTTGCGAGTATACCTATTTTCAAGAGGTGGGGTAACCCACACAACTGTGGGAATTGACTCAGGGCACAAGGACCTTGGTGTTGAATTTTTCTCTTCTGCCCCCAGGCTGCCCAGGCCTTTCTCCAGCAGTCAGGGCTGCAGGCCCTGGAAAAGCATCAGGAGACCCAGCTTCAGGATCGGGTGCATGCTCTCAGGCAGACAGCTCTTCATAGGTGATCTGGATTCTTGATGCTGAGTGCCTTTCCCACCCACCCTCTCCCCCCCAATCTCCATATTTTTGGCCTACTTGCTTTGGCAGAAAACTAAGGAGCCTTTGTGGGTTAGAATCATTATAGCTTATAACTAAGCCAAGATCTTTGGAATCCACCCCTGCAAACACCACCACCTCTGCACCCACAATGTACAGAATTGAGGACCAGAAGATCATCTCTGTTGCCAATCTATTCTTACCACCCTTCTTTTTTTGCTTTAGCACCTAATGGCTTTTTAAGTAGCCAAAGTAGGCAGTGGACTCGATTCTACTTTATTTTCTTTAGCTTCTTGACTAGTAACTGACATGTACCACAATGATAGCAGGTGGTGGTTTTTAAGAAGAAATAAAGTTTTATTTTTATATTAAACTGCTTTGTTTCAGTGGTCATTGCACAGTAACAGGCAGAGGGTAAAATAAGGACAAGAACATCCTGAAGGCAGCACTTACAGCGTAAGCTTTATAAGGAGTAAGAGAACACATTTTACCACATTGTTCTTAATCCAGCAGAGCCCAGATACTCTTGCTCATAATTCACAGTGGCGAGACTTCAGGCTTTGACACTTAGTACATTCTCCAGGGCTTTGGTTACCTGATCAACATTGAAATTATTCAGAGAGACATTCTTCTCTTGGCCAAATGCTGAGGAAGAAAGAGAACAGTGGCTATGTACTCTGAACAGTAGGGCTAATGAAATTATACTTCTATAATTTGTTCCTACTTCAGAGTCTTGTTAAAATCGTAAAGGTAAATGTTATACTTAGAATTAATCCAGGGGTCTCATTTTAGTTGATTCTGGATGCCTACAATTAGAAAGTTGCAAGATCATTTTTTTTCTTGGTCAGTCATGGGGCCTGAACTCCGGGTGCTGTCCCTCTGTTCTTCAGCTCAATGTGAGTGCACTACCACTTAAGCCACAGCGCCACTTCCGGCTTTTTCTGCTTATGTGGTGCTGAGGAATTGAACCCAGGGCCTCATGCATGCAAGGCAAGCACTCTACCACTGAGCCACCTTCCCAGCCCTCAAGGAGATCTTAAGACATTTATTATTAACCACTATGAGCAATCCCTAGACAGTCTGGCTAACATTGGTTGCTGTGTGTTTAAAAATTAGTACATCTAGGGCTGGGAAGGTGGCTCAGTGGTAGAGCGCTTGCCTTGCATGCATGAGGCCCTGGGTTCGATTCCTCAGCACCATATTAGTAGAAAAAGCTGGTAGTGGCGCTATGGCTCTAGTGGTAGAGTGCTCGCCTTGAGCTGAAGAGCAAGGGACAGCACCCAGGCCCAGAGTTCAGGCCCCACGACCAACAACAACAAAAAAAAATTAGTACATCTGGGGCTGGGAAGGTGGCTCAGTGGTAGAGGGCTTGCCTTGCATGCCTGAGGCCCTGAGTTCGATTCCTCAGCACTACATAAGCAAAAAGAAAAAAAGCCAGACGTGGCACTGTAGCTCAAGTGGTAGAGCGCTAGTCTTGAGCTGAAGAGCTGAGGGAGGACAGCGCCCAGGCCCAGAGTTCAGGCCCCACGACTGGACCCCCCCCCAAAAAAAATTAGTACATCTAATGCTGGGTGCTGGTGGCTTATGCCTGTAATCCTAACTACTTAGGAGGCTGAGATCTGGGGATCGCATTTCAAAACCAGTTCGGGAAGCAGAGTCCATGAGACTCATCTCTAGTTAACCACAGAAAACTGGAGGTGGTGCTGTGGCTCAAGTAGTAGTGCGCTCGCCTTGAGCTGAAGAGCTGAGGGAGGGTCAGTGCCCAGGCTCAGAGTTCAAGCCCCACGACCAGTCAAAAAAAAAGAAAAAAGTCCATCTAACATAATGTGTGGCACAGTATGTTGAGGTTAATTGTATCCATCTCTTCTAGTCAATGGGCTTTAAAAAATCCTTTTCATTTTCTTCAAACAGTTATTGTTTGCCTGGTGCTGGTGGCTCATGCCTGTAATTCTAGTTACTCAGAAGGTGAGATCTGAGAAGAGTGGTTTGAAGCCAGCCTGGGCAGGAAAATCCATAAGACTCTTATCTCCAATTAACCACCAAAAAGCTGGAAATGGGCTATGGCTCAAGTGGTAGAGCAGCAGCCATGAACCAAAGAGCTCAGAAACAGTACCCAAGACAAAAGAACAAAACAAAAAACAGTTGTATATGACATATAAAGATGTACATTGTTAGAACCAATTGCCTTAGATGTGATTCTTTCTTCTCCACCCCCAGACATTCCTAGGGCAGGGTATAATTAAAAACCAGGATTAAAATCACACCATTCAAAGCTGGGCACTGGCAGTTCACACCTATAATCCTAGCTACTTAGGAGGCTGAGCTCTGAGGATCCTGGTTCAAAGCCAGCCCAGGCAGGAAAATTCTGTGAGACTCTTATCTCCAATAAACCATCAGAAAAGAAAAACAGAAGTGGTGCTGTGGCTCAAGTGGTGGAGCTCTAGCCTTGAGCTGAAGAGTTGAGGGATAACGCCCAGGCTGAGAGTTCAAGCCCCACAACTGACAAAAAAATAAATAAATAAAAAAATAAAATCACACCATTCATAGTGCAGCATTTACATCTGTAACCCTAGCTATTCAAGAATCTGCAATGGGGGCTGGGAAGGTGGCTCAGTGGTAGAGTGCTTGCCTTGAATGCATGAGGCCCTGGGTTCGATTCCCCAGCACCACATAAACAAAAAGAAAAAAAGCCAGAAGTGGCACTGTGGCTCAAGTGGTAGAGCGCTAGCCTTGAGCTGAAGAGCTGAGGGACAGAGCCCAGGCCAGAGTTCAAGCCCCACGACGACGACCACCACCACCACCAAAAAAGAAATGTACTCTTGGGCTGGGAAGGTGGCTCAGTGGTAGAGCACTTGCCTTGCATGCTCGAGGCCCTGGGTTCAATTCCTTAGCACCACATAAGAAAAAAGCCGGAAGTGGCACTGTGGCTCAAGTGGTAGAGTGCTAGCCTTGGGCTGAAGAGCTGAGGGACAGCACCCAGGCCCAGAGTTCAGAACCCCGGACCGAACCCCCCCCCCCAAAAAAAAAAAAGATATGTACTCTTTACCTGACTTTTGTAACTGTAATGCCTCTGTGTCTCACCTTTGCAATAAAAATTTAAAAATTAAAAAAAAAAGAAGCTGCAATGGGAGGATCCAGGTTATAAGCCAGCCTAAAGCAGGAAAGTCTGTGAAATTCATCTCTAATTAAATACTGTGGCACAAAGAGGTAGGGCACTAGCCTTCAGCACAAAAGCTCAGGGACAGTGCCTTTGGCCTGTGCCTATGCCCTAGGTCCAGGCAAGAAAAAGAAATGTCACACTATTCATGGTGGCTTGCACCTGTAAGCTATTTAGAAGGCTGAGATCAGGAAAGTTGCTTATCTCGTATAAACTACAAAAAATAATATGATAAGGCCAGGGCAATGCTGAATGACTAGTCAGAGAATACCTGTGGTTTTTTTTTGTTTTTGTTCTCTCATGGGGCTTGAACTCAGCCTGGATGAGTTCTCAGAGCTTTCTTTCTCTCTTGCTTTCTTGCACTCTACCACTTTGAGCCACAGTACCACTTACAGTTGTCTGGTGGTTAACTGGAGAGGAGTCTCATGGATTTTCCTGCCCAAGCTGGCTTTGAATCTCAATCCTCAGATCTCAGCCTCCTCAGTAACTAGGATAACAGGCTGCAAGCCACAGGCATCTGGCAGAATGCTTGAATTTATAAGGTTAGACAGAATTACAACCTTAGTGAATAAGAGCCAGTCAGCCATGGAAGATTGGGAGATCCACTCCAGGAAAAGGAGGTAAAATGTAAAAGGCATAATGCTGTTAAACGCTAACTGCATAATTTTAGGTATATTTTATAAAGTTGTCTTTTCTAATCTTTCCACCTGCATAATTGAGGATTAGGTATGATTTAGGCAGGAAAACACCACACTGCCACATCTACTTTGGTAGGGCATTCATTGATGGTAATGGACTAGTATGTTTTCTACTTGAAGCCTACTGTTTGTTTGTGTACCCGTATGCATGCCGGTACTGGAGTATGAACTTAGGGCCTGGTGCTGTTCCTTTTTTAGCTAAAGGCTGGCGCTCTACCCCTTGAGCCACAATTACACTTGGGTCCTTTGGTGATTAACTGGAGATAAGTCTCAGATCTCAGCCTCCTTAGTAGTTAGGATTACAGGCTTTGAAGACTATTCTGATCTACAGAAATCCCTACGCTACGAGCCTGCAAGACTCAAATGTGTGTTACCCAAAGGCATCATAGAGCGCTGTGAATGTGCACTTCATCGTTAGCAACAGCAAGGCTGAGGTTTTGGTTTTACTTTCTTCCCACATTTTTTGCGTGACCTTGGCGAGGGCCCTCTCTCGAGCTTCCAGCCGGGGTCCCAGCACTCACCATAGCGCGCCCAGAGCTTGGGCTGCACGTCGGAGCACTCGCGGATTAGAATGGGCAGGTCGGGGTGCGCTTTCTTCAGATCCACATAGCGTTTCTCGATGAAATCCCTGCGGGGTCGGAGACAAGGCGGCGCGTCCTAGGGCAGAGCGTCCCCAAACACTGGGGAGGCCGAGGTCATGACCCCGACGTCCCGAAGCCCTCCCGCCTCACCACGCCACGCCTCACCTGACCCCTTGGCTGCCCGGCGAGCGCTGGCACAAGTGGATGCGAATCTCACGAAGGACTTGCTTCGCTCCGGCCGCCCGACTAGCTGCGGCCGCCGCCATCTTTGCTAGTACGGAAAGCCCAATTCCAGGCCTTCACAGTCAGACCAATAACGGAACCTTCAGCCTCTTCCACTGATTGGATGATGCCAGTGGGCGGGATAAATATTAGCCAATGACATGAAGGTATGGTAGATATCAGTGACGTCTCAGTTCAATCTCCGCGACCCAAACGACGGGGAGGAAGCCGGAAGTACTGAGCGTTCCGTGGTGGATTGTGGGAAAAGCTTGACGCCGTTGGTTTATTGCCGGAGATTTGGCGCTTGCTTCTGTGGAAAAACTGCGGACAAAATGCCGGAGCGGGACAGTAAGACACTCGAGTCAACAGCTCTTTCTTGCTGTATCGCAGAACTGGGGACACTTAATTTAATTTGGCAGCGTTTAAGCCGGTGTTGTGTGGCGCTTGGAGCCCTAGGAAGCCCTTGGGCCTTCGGAGAGGCCAGGCTGCTTCACACTGAGTTTTGCTTTGGTTTTTTGTTCGTTTCTGCGGTTCAGACCCACCAGCTTTGCCCTGGTTGGTCTGGAACTCTC